ATCAGACAGCGAGCGTGTGCCCTCCTTACTGCCAATACCAGCCTGAACTGGCGCTGCCTGGTCTCTCGCAGGACAAAGCCTGGACTCACTAGATTATTTGTATTACCATAGCACCCAGGGGTCTTCGTTGTGTTAGGCGCTGTACAAATGAACGCTGCCGTCCCAGATCCTGCCCCAGCCTCCCTCGGCTGTTCTGATGCACCTAGCCAAGAGCCCCAATGGCTCCCCCATCTCCCCTTGGCCTTGGAACACACACATTCCTGGTCCTAGTGGAACATGGGGGGGGGGGGGTGTCAGCATCTTCCCCCAGCATCCACAATAGACTAGTGATGATCTCTTCACTAACGTGCTGTCCTACCAACAGCTCAGCAAAGACCCCAACGTTGTCATAGCCAAGATGGATGCTACAGCCAATGATGTGCCTTCTCCATACGAAGTCCGAGGGTAAGAGCTTCAGCTTGTATGACATTGGGTGGGGTAGCAGGGGAGAGTCCTGGCTACTGTCTCTAGCCAGTGACTGTGCTACAGAAGGGCTGGGGAATCTGTTTTTTTTTGGGGGGGGAAGAGACTGGCTCTGATGGCAGCTGGGGGCTGATGTGCTTGTAGTCGTGGTCACTGGGAACTTGCTTGTCTTGCTCCTGAGCAACTGTCAGCAGAAATTCAGACTTGGAGTAACTCAAATGCAAGCATCTGCCCTTGCTCCTGTGCAGGGTATCGTGTTTCCCAGCCCCACCTGCACACAGCTTCCTGAATGTCCCTGGCCCTCCCTTCTACTCCGGAGACTGTTCTTGAGGATGAAGAACTGCACTGGGCACCTATCTTTCTGCAAACCTGAATCCAGGTGCACTCAGTCAGCTCTGCTCCCAGGGCCAAACTGATGGCGCATGGCTTGCTACTGTTCTGGGCTTCCTCTGGCTGATGGTGCCTTGAAGGGCTTGTCCCTTGACTTGTGGGGCGATAGACTCCATGCAATAGAGATTCTCCCCCTTCTGTGGCTCAGGGCAAACCTGCTGCCCTGCATGGTGAGTGCTAGACTCGCCCTGAGGGGTTAGGACCTGAAGACTGCTGAACACAGTAGAGCTGACATGTCTCTTCTTTCCCCAGCTTCCCCACGATCTATTTTGCTCCAGCTGGTAACAAGCAGAATCCAAAGAAATATGAGGTGAGTGTCTGCTTCCTGCCCTGGGAGCTCTGCAGGCAGGTTTCCTCCTTGCCGCTACAGCTTTGGGCAGCGCACATGCAGGTAATCTCCCTGCAGCTGAAGAGCTGTGTGGCCGTGCAGGCCCTCAGGAACGCTGCCCTGCACACTGAGGGATGGCTGCCCTGTAGCTGCACCTCTAGGACATGTTGGTGCAGCCTGTGGGAGAGCCTTAAAGGGCTCTCAGGGAAATGGTGTGGGGAACCTTGGTCTCTCGTGAGGCAGTGAACACTCCCCATTCGGGGCCAGCAGGTGCAGATATTCCCAAGACCCCAGGGAGTGTCAAAGCCAGGATCCTAGTGCTCAGCCCTGGCCTCATGCTCTTGTTGTTTGCAGGGGGGCCGGGAGGTGAGCGACTTCATCAGCTACTTGAAGCGGGAGGCGACCAGCCCCCCTGTGCTGCAGGAGGAGGAAAAGCCCAAGAAAAGGAAGAAGGCCCAGGAGGATCTGTAAAGCACCTAACCACCCAGCTCACCAGTGTGTCCGAGGAGGAATTGTGCGGGCATTGGGGAAGCCCTGGGGCCAGCTGTGGGAGTGAAGAAACTGTGCCCAATGCAATGTGGGCTGAAGGGACCCAACTGCTGTACCTAGCTGTGTTTAATTTCCTGCCGTCTCTTTGCTGCATTCTTATGGGGCTGCCCCAGACGTGGGTGATGTTTGAGGGGTGGGGAAGGGGGGTGGGGCAGGGGGAGACGTGTTATTTTCTAATTTTTTTGTACATTTGGAGAAGTGAGACAATAAAATGGACCCCTTTAAAACCACACCTCTGTGCCCAGTGCTGCCAGTGGCTGCTGCTGAGTCCTGTGTAAGTGGTGCTAGCTGGGAGCCCATGGAGTGCTGCCCTGCTCTCAGCTGGGAGCCTCTCCTGGCTGTGTCCTGAGGGCTGTGAGAATGCATGGGGAACAAATCCCACCTGCCCTCACACTCCATTCCCAGTACAAGAGGCTGGTGGGGGACTAGCCACTGCCATGCTTCTGTGGAACTTGGCCTAGGAGGGGGCCTGTGGTGCAGTGGGGGTGCAGGACTGCATGGTGCTTAGGGGCAGGCAGGAGGTGCAGAGGAGACCCCTTCACCCCTTTGTGTACAGAACACAGGCTCTGCGGCAGGGCACAGCTGCCATCGTGAATGCCCCAGACACCAGTGGTGAAGTGGCAAGAAGCCTGCCTGAGGCCCATGCCTGGTCTGCTAGAGCCCATGGCTGCAGGCTCTGGGCTTCCTGCCATGGACCAGCATGTGACTTGGTAGATTCTGCACTAACTACCTAGCCATGGGCTGTGCCTGGTGTTCCTACAGTGGCCTCCAGGGCTCGAGTCTGGGCTTTGCGTGGGAGCAGCTCAAAGGTAGGCCGGTCATTCTGAGTGCTTCAAGCTGTGCTGAACTCAGAGTGGGTTCACTTGGTGCTGAGCCTGGCAGCACCTCTCCCTGGCATGTAGCCAGAGCTGTGGCAATGGTGTGAGCAAACCCTGCAGTGCCACAAGAGGCTAGGACCAGATGTGAAAGCATCCCCCAGTCAGATAGAAGGCAGGGCACTTTGCTTGGTGCTCAGCTCCCTTGTTCAGAGGGCCTCATGGGCAGGCCAGAGCTGTGATTGCAGCTGCCCCAGCCTCTAGGTGCCTCTTACTTCTCACTCAAGGGCCTCCTCAATACAGCTGGGGAGGAGTAGCCTCCCCTGGCCCCAGGGCTCCTAACCCTGCAGCTAATGAGCTAGTCTTTGCCTGTAGCCCTCTGTCCTGTTTCCTGCTGGCTGCTCCAAGCCTACATCCCTTCCAAGGTGTTGGGCAGAGGAGTTTGATTTGCTAGGAACAGCTGGCCTGCTGTAATATGGACTGCTGTATTTACCTTGGTGCAGGTAGGAGGGTGTTCAGGCCCCCTTAAATTGTAGGAGGGAGATGAGTGGCTTCCTAGCCATGGAGGCAGAGAGCTGCAGTGGAGGGTTGGTAAATCTGTGAGTACTGCTGTGTTCTGGCTCAGCGCTCCAGCAGGGCTTCCCCTGCCCTCTGACTTCTGTTTTACAAAACACCATGGGTGGGTATCTACACCTTTATTCCTGGGGCACACTCTAGATACAGGAGCTTGCACAACAGCATTTACAAGGTCTCCCCACCTTCCACCCTGGCTTTGCTGTACCAAGGCCCATTCACTATTGTACCAAAGCTTCTCCTCCAGCCCAGCACCAGTGTGGGAAACTGGTGGGAAAGCACCTGCTACCCTGTCTACTATGGGCTGGGTCAGGCAGTTTTGATTGAGCATTTCCCTCAGGGCCCTTGCTGTAGTCCCCTAGCAGAGACTGAACCACAGCCCTGTCTACAGGTAGGCACCTGTCCCCCACAACTGTGACAGAGGGGGAATGAGTTGCTGTGGAGAATAGGCAGTAAGTTAGTGGCTGGTGATCCTTGGGGTCTAATGCCTGTCAGCTGTGAACAGCTGTTCCCCACCTAGCCCCTGGTCATGCCATGCCTGTAGAGCATTCACATGAACACACTGATTTGCTCAAGCTAGGCACATCCTTCAGCTAACCCACCCTGGGCCCTTCCCCGGCAGAGGGGCAGTTTGGCTGCTAAGTGGCTCAGTAATTATTGTATTACATCCAGCACCTAGTAACCCTCATCCCAGCCCCATGGTGCTGTAGAAACACTTCCTTGGACAAAGCAGCAGAGCCTGTATGTGAGGGCTCCATCCCCTCCACCGAGGCCAGCTGGTAACAAAGGGTTGTATCACTTACAGTCCCACAGCCAAGCCCTGCCACATCGGTTTCTCCTGCTGGGTTGGGTCAGGCAAGTTACTTTCAAAGCGGGAGGAGCTCAGGCAGGTGCTGGGAGAGGGCTGAAGGCCACAGCCACACATTGTACAATGAACTGTTTAACCCAGGGCCATAAACCAGGAACAAGGTAGAACTCCCAGGGCCTCCACCCCACCTGCGCTGTAGCACAAAGGGACCCTAAGCAACCATTCCCGTCTCACCCCCCTCCTTGCAGTTCCACCTAGCGATGTCAGCAGGTTCCCAAGGCAGTTCCGAGGGCAGCACAGATAGATAGTTGAGATACACCAACAATGGGGTGCATAGCCAAGGAAGGTGAGGCACTTCCCTGTCCCCTTAACTCCTGCTACCCCACACTGCTCAAGCAGGTGTCAGTCATCAAACCCCAGCACAGACTGACCCCTTTCCTCCTGTAGCCCCAGGGGCATGGTGCCCTTAGCTCTAGCAATTGAAACAGTCCCTGGTGGGCAAGGCTCTGCCATGCTCTCAGCTCCTTAGGGGGGAGGGAGCCAGTGAAGGAAGGTGGCAGGTCCCACTTGATGGCAAAAGCCACCTTCTCCAGCAGACAGCATAGGCTGCACCTATCACAAGTTAGGCTGAGCACTGCATGGAGCTGGCATGAGCCATGCTGGCTGACAAGCCTTAAGCCAGGGATCCTGCCCAGGCAGAGCTCTGTGGTGCAGGCTGGCCCCCTGAGCAGGACACAGGCACCCATCCTAACCTGGAGCTGCACCACTAGCCCCAGGTACCCCTTGGGAGGTGGTACAGGTAAGACAGCAGCTCACCGGGGACAATTCACTAAGACCATCACCCACTCTCTCTACTTTGTGGCAGCCACATGCTCTGTCCTGCAACCCTCCCCCACCCCCCAAGGCAGTCAAATGGCTGGGTTGGACACTAGGCTGGGGGGCTGCAACTACTGTACTACTACAAGAGAGTTCGCTAACCCCCCCCCTTCCTCCCCTGCACTGAAGGGAAAGGAGAACAGGCAGGGCCCCCGCTCCCTGCGGTGGAAAGGCTGCAGGCTCAGCACTGGAGGCTCCTCTAGGCAGCCCCTGTCTTCTCAAACTCTAGGATGAGGCCCTTGATGTGGGACAGCTTTTGGTGAAGATACTCGCAGCGGTCCTTCTCCTTCCTGTAGCTGGGGTAGGTCTGCAAGATAGAGCCCAGGTCAGCCCCTGCCAGGGAGCATCAGCCCCAGCCCCCTACTGCCAGCCTCACCTGCTTGAACCTCCGGTATTCCTGTAAGATTCTGTCTTCCACTGCCTGCAAACCAAGAGAGCTGACTCAGCACTCGGCCTAGGCACGCTGCCCTGCCGCCCAGCCCGGCCCACCCTCACCTTGTGCTCCTGCGTCCCGTGCGGCAGCGTTTTGATTTTGGCTCCCAGCTGGATGAATGTCTTGCTCACGTGTCCGATCCTGGTGTGGAGGCGCCGGTACTCTGCGTAATCCGCACTGAACGCCTCCATGTAGGCGTGATGCTGCTCCACTGAACAGATGGCTCTGTATTTCCTAGCACAACCGGGAGAAACTACTGACTAGTCCCTCCATCAAGGCCAGGTGAGCTGAGCAGCAGGGGCTCTGCATGAGGTGCACAGGCCAGAATGCTGCTTGCTAGGAGCAACTCCATCTCCTGACCCGTACCACTTCAGCTTCCCTGTGCGTGAGGAAGAGAAAAGGTGGGCACTGCCCAGAAGCAGGTGGTGCTGTCACGCCACTGCCCACACGGTAGCTCTGGAGTGGGGCCGGGTCTGCTTCTTGTCCAGCTTTGAGATTCCATTTACAACTTGGACTTCACAGGCTGGGAATCTGCAGCTCAGCCTGGCTCCACGCCCCCTGGCTCAGGCTGTGGGAGCTGGGACAGGGCCCCCCTCATGGTGTCTGCCGAGAGGCTAGCCTGTCACCCAGGGGAGGAGCAATGTGCCTGGCAAGGAATGCCCGCCCCAGCCATGCTTACCGGCAGTAATCTGGGAGCTCAGCAAAGGAGGACGGGGGGCTTGCCCGGGAGCTGCTGTCTGGGGAGGAAGCAAAAGAATTTGGGCAGAAACTCTTCAAAGTAATTTCCCCTCCAGCCCCAGCCTCCGTCCCTCAATTCCTTGGGGTTACGGAGCCACCAACAACCCCAGCAGGAGCTCCTGCAAAGTCGTGAGCTCCAGCCACCTGCGCTGCCTCAGGCGGGGCCCCTCAGCCATGCTGGTGTGCAGAAGGGACGGGACAGCGCCCTGATGCCACGCAGAGCGGTAGGTGCAGGGGCTCTGCCCAGCACTGCTGTGACCTGCCCCAGGGAAGCAAAACTCGCACCCACCCCTCCCCCCAGCGCGTGGCCCTGGAAGCTGTGAGCAGACACACTGCTCATGGGCTGAGTCCCAGCCCCCCCAAGCATTAACCAGAGGGTTTGCAGGGCTCTCTGTGCAGGGACCAGCCTCAATCCCCTCCCCGTATCACTGGCGGGGGGGCAACGGCTCAGGCAGGGTCACACAGAGCCAGGAACAGAACCCGGGGCCCCATCCCCAGCTGGCACCTGAGCCACAGAAGCCTCCTTCCTGGGGTGCCCCCTGCTGGCCATGGGGCGAGACTCCTCCCTCTGACTTTAGCTGGTACTTTGGGGCCACAACTTCCCCCTCCCTGAAGCTCTGATGTGAGCCTCGCTTTGGGCTCACCCCAAGTCCTTTTTCAGCCCCCCCGGGGTTCCGGACTGCTCTCCCCTAGTCTCGCTGCCTGGGAGCCGTGCAGCCCTATGTGGCAGACAGCTCTGGCTAGGGGTGCTTACAGCTGACAAGGTGGGTCAGAGCCTGGCTGGCAGCAGGACGTCCCTGTGGTGGGCTGGGAGCAGCACAGCCCCTCACCTTGCAGGGCAGAAAGGTGCTGCTCCAGGCGCAGAGCTCCCTCTTCCCAGTCATCACCTCCCTCCCCATCACTCGGCTCCTCCTCTGAGCTCTGCAGCTCCGTGCTGGGCCTGGGAAGGTGGCATGGCTGCCGCTGGCTCTGGGCTCTCCGATGCTCCAGGCCAGGCTCCTGCAGGCTGTGGTGGGACCCCAGAGAGCTGGGGGGGTGCTCTTGGGCACAGGGTTTCTTCAGCCCTTGTGGGTCCGAGGCATCCAGCAGTGCCAGCCGCTTCTGAAAGAAAAACCCACCAGGCTGTGGGGGCTGTCCTGGATTCACCCCCCAGGCTGGAGCCCTCACTGCGGGAAACAGGTGAGCAAGGAGGGATCCACCCCTTCCATCATGGCCCACGGGGCTACCCCCTCCCCACATGCAGGGCTCTCACCCCTCTGCTCTGGAGGGCAGAGGTGATGCTCTAGGCTGCAGCCCACTGCTCTAGGCCAGCCAGGCACAGGTGCTGGAACTAGGATGCCGGGGGGCTGCTGCACCCCTGGCTTGCAGTGTTTCCATCCCACGGGTTACAGTTTGGTTCAATGGCTCTCAGCTCCCCACTGTACAAACTGTTCCAGCCCCCTGCAGCCAGTCTGCCCACCAGGACTCCAGCCACCCAGCCAGAGACTAGAGCCTACTCCCCCAACCCACCCAAGGCCAGAGACTTGGTGCTATGGCTAGTGACAGTGGGACAGCAAGGGGCAAGGCCCAGCCAGAGCCAAGCACGCAGCTGGGACCAGCCCCCTCCCAGCCCAGGGAAGAGACAGCCCAAGGCAGAGCCTCAAGGAGCTGCCCAGCCAGTGGCCTGGGCACAGTCATTCCCATGACCCTACAGCTCCTTCCCTGCTGCAGCTGGAACCTTGGGGAATTGTGCTGCGCTGTTAAGCAGTACGGTGGTGGGTGGAACCTGCCATGGGGTGGCCGGGCGGCCGCAGTGGCCCTGAACGAGGGGGAGGTATCTGGCCTGCCCAGGGTTAGTGGAGGAGGATGCTGGGGCTCTGGATTTGGGGGGGAAGAATTGATCTTGCCCCATGGGGGACGGGGGGCACCATGGCTTCAAGAAGTGGCACCAACATATCTGTAAATCAGCTCAGTTCTGGTAATCAGGACATGTGCAATCTCTGCAAATAAAGCCATGCATATTCAAATATGAAAATCGGGCTATTAAGCCATGCTGGTGACCTCCAGATTTCTGGACATTTAGCCTTAGCAGGTTTTCAGCCCTCGTTCTCCTGCCCTTGCCTTGTTCTGGTGCCTGCGCTGGAGCATCCATCTGCCTAAGGCTTCGTACCACCAATACTTACCACGCCCAAGGGCCTTCTGCTGGCACCTTGGCAAGACGGGCACTCCAGAGGCACTAAGAAGGGCCTGTCCACAGCTCCGTGGGCCTGTTTCCTGGAGCAGAAGAGAGAAGATATCTGGGGCAGCTACCATGGGCCAAGGCAGTGTGTCACCCAAGAACAGGAGAGGAGATGCCCTGCCAGCACCCAGGCCATGGGGCCGGGCAGGCTGCGGTCAGGGCCTTGGCGTGGGGATGGCACGGAGCACACGAGATGGGAACAAGGTGTGAACCCACCATCTGGCTGTGAAGCTTCTGTGCCTGAAGCCAGCTGTACACACGAGTGCCCTGCAACCCTCCCCTGCTCTGAAACATCCAGCCCCTTCCCACAGCCAGCTGGGACTTCGGCATTAACCGGGGGCACCCGGGCAGCTCTCTGTCCCTCGGCCCAGGGCTGCACCTGCGCAGGAGCTGCCTGACTTGCTGCTGCTCCTTGGCCGTGTAGCCCAGCCAGTCCTCCTGCACCTGCCCAAAGAGCTCCTCCTTCAGACTGTAGCTGCTCTCCCGGGGGTTCAGCTGCCCCACCTGTGTGGACGAGAGCAGCAGAGTCAGCGAGAGCTCAGGGGACAGGAGCCGCCGCGCTGCCCCCTCTGCCCACACTCACCTCCTCCAGCATGGGCAGCAGCTGGGCCCTGTCCTTCAGGCTGATCTGCACCCTGTTCAGCCGCTCCAGGAGCTCATGTTTGCAGTGAGGCCGCAGGGCCAGAAGCTGCACTAGGCATTTCACAAGAACCCTGCGATCTGTCCCCATGGGGCTACATTTCCTGCCCCCTGGAGCAGGGCACCCAGTGGGGCACTTCCCCAGTGGGGTGCTCATGCCCAGCTTCTTTGGGATAGCGACACATTTGCCTGCAGAGGAATCAATGCACAAATGGCTGCTAATAAAGAACTAACCCCTCCAGATGTGCCCCGAAGGCCTCTCATCCCGGATCTCACAGCTAGCACCAGACTCCTCTCTGCCCGCCCATAGCTGGCCCCCTTGACGCAAGAGCCTTCTCCTCGGCAGCCCCTGGGTCCCTCCACTTCGTTGTGAGTTTGGGCTAAATTCTGCCAAGCTGAGGCCTGGCACATTTGCTGCAGCCAATGCGCAGCTCAGGGGGACTGGGCAGGGGTTGTGGAGGTGAGACGACACCCAGAGAGAGAGGCTGGGCTCACCCAGTAGCTGTTGCGGCCCCAGTTCAGCCCCCAGCTTCTTCCTGAATCCAGCCTTGCCAACCCCGCCCAGCAGGCCCGGTGCAGCCAGCAGGCCTGGTGCAGGCTGATTCCCAGGGCCCCGCACCTTGGGCTGCGCGAGGTGTGGGACAGAGACACTTGGCCATGGGAGCCCAGCTCTGCTCACTCTCCCTCCAGGCAGGAGCTGTAGTGAGCCTCACCCACCCATGCGCGGCACAGAGCCAGCTGCCAGCACTCACACGGGCCACATGCTGCCCCGTGCCCAGGCGCAGAGTGGGACGGGCTGCTCGGCTCTCTCAGCGCTTCCTCCCACTTCTCAAGGTCAGCCCCACTTGTGAGCCACGCCCTGACCGTGGCAGGATCCTGCCTTACCATGGCCTGGGGCTGCTGGCTTGATCTCGATAGCAGCTCTGCTCCACGCCTCCTTCTCCACCTGGGACACACGCGCCCGCGTCAGCTGGTACGAGTCATCGGTGGCACAGACGGTGATTTTCTCCTGGATGCTGCCCACACAGTCCAGCTGGCTCTGACCCAGCCTGAGAGCACAGAAACCTGTGTCACTGGCCTGGCCCCTGCTCTCTGCTAGCCCATCCTGAGAAGCAAGCCAAGGAGAGGGGCCTAGACACACCCCCAGACCAGGGGGCACTCGCTACCACACAGCAGGGGCAGGGGTCAGAGCCAGTGATGTGCCCTTGTCTTGTCTCATCCCCAGCCCCTGCCCAACACGGCACTCCCCAGGGCAGCCTCCTGCTGTGCTGGAGTGGAGATTTTCTGTCACATTTTGTATGACTAGTTTGCGTGCCTCAGTTTCCCCTACATGCTGCATTGCTAGCGAGGTGGTGGGAAAAGGTTGTTTACCTGCAGGCGGGCTTTAGCACAGGCGTGAATGGCACCAGGCTGGCACCTCATCAATAGAGTCCATGAAGACAACAGCAAATCCAGACACCAGGACATCGATACCTAACGACTAAGGACCATGGATGGCTCCACCTCTCTGCTGGAAGCCAAGCCTAGTTTGCCCAGCTGGAGAACAAAGGACTGGGGGATGGAGGGTTGAGGTGGAAGTGAAGTGTGGGCTGTGGGAAGCAGTTAGGGCTCGCCTGACCTGGGACAAAGACAGGTCAGAGGGATGGGGCTTTAGGCTCCATGCTGACAGGACGGACTGTGCTGTAACTGTCTGTTTTCTGTGCTACCGAAGGCCTCCCTGTGCTGTGTGCCAGCCGACCATAAACCAACTTTCTCAGCACTGGGTGAGTGCCCCTGCAGATGCTGGTGGGGCTGCATTGCTCCCTGAGATAGTACAGGTCTCCCTCAGGGGTCTGCCTCAGTGGGACTGCTTCCCACCATGGCTCCGGTCAGCGAGAGTGGCTGACAGGCCAGAGATGCAGCCTAAGGAGGCGATGACACTGCGTGGCTTGCCCTGGAGGAAGAGTGAGACCCCTCAGGGGTCCGTCTCACTGAACAGCCCTCCCAGAGACTGTTCCAAAGCTGGGGTCACAGCACCGGTTCGGTGAGGGTGTCTCCTGCGCATTCTGGAATGGAAGCGCCTTCTCCACAGATGACCCACAGGGGAGTCAGCAGGGATGTGGGGCTGCCCCCCCACAGGCCAGTAGGTCTCAGAGCCCTGCTGCCTGCCTTCCTACCTCCCCGCCGCCCCCCCCCCCAAGTTAGCACAGGTCGGTGGGAAGAGTTAGGGGATCGGGCTGCTTGAGACTGCAGCAGCTCTCAAACAACTCACGCAGCCTGCTCCCTCCACGCTGAGGCAACTCCCAGCCACCTCTCGCCCTGCTGAACAGCCCGAGGGTGTCAGTCACCCCTTCACTCAGCACGGTTCTCTGCTCAGGAGCAGCTGCTCCAATGCCCGTGTGGGGAGAGCAGCCCCCTCCTGATCACTGCTACCCCCCTCCGCTATCCTGAAGGAGATGTTCTTCGGAGGGTGGGGGCTGCACAGGCAGGGAGCTCCCGGCACACGGTGCCCCAGTGGATCTGGGGTTGCAGCTCCATACAGAACTGTCACTGGACAGCATGGCCAGGCGAGTGCATCTGCAAAGAGCCAGCCCCCTCCCTGACACCAGAGCAGACACAGCCCCTTCCCCACTGCTTGCACCCCATCTCCAGCCGCCTCACACACGCACCCCTCTGAGCTGCCTCGGACTCAGGTGCTGGCCATGCCCCAAAACTCAGCCAGGTCAGGTTCCCACAAGCCCTTGGCCCTGCCCCCAGCCCCAAGCTGGGCAGAGGCCAGGAATCTGGTTACCTGCCTAGGGCTTCAGGGCAGGAAACAAGCCTCCAGTTCCGGGAAGTCTCCAGGACAGGGCCTCTGGGGCACAGACCGGCCCCACTCACTCACCTGGAGACGTACTGCCGGATGCAGTCGAAGCTGGCCTGCGGCTTGTCCTTGCTGTAGCGGGACAGGTAGAAGGTGAAGAGGCGAGCTCCTTCCCCAGGGCTGCCCAGGGCACAGGGGATCTTGATGTACTGTCCAGGAGAGAGGGAGCGCATGGGACCATTCCCAGGGGAGTGGGGCACTGAGAAGAGGGGAGCTGCATTGTCCCTGCCCCTCTGCATCCTCCTCCCGCCCCACATCCCCACCCCTGCCTGGGACTTGGCAGCTCTCCTCAGGCTCAGCTGCACACGCCCCAGCTCTCCCAGCGAGGGGGACTGGGGGCTCCCCAGACCCCATGTGTACAGACAAAGGGCCCCGGCAGCACTGCCATCTAATTGTCTGGTTCAGAATCCCCCCACGAGGCTACAGCCTGCTTTTAGCAGCAGCTCTCCAGGGGGCAGATCACCAGCAGAGATTTAACCCTTACAACGCTGGGCCGTTTCCAGACATGGGGGAGCCAGTGGGAGACTTGGAGTGGCTTTACTCCCAGCAGTGGGGTACACAGCCGGGGGGCTGGGGCTGGGTCTCTTAGTGGAGGGACAGAAGGGGGATCAGCAGAAGGGAGGGCTGGCATTCTGGGCAGGGGACAGCTGGCCAAGCCAGGGGCTCTCTGCCCCAGCTCAGGGGGGGGGGTACATGGGGCAGGCACCCCCAGACATACCCTTGGGGCGGGCGCTCTGCCCCAGCTCAGGCAGAGGGGAGACACATGGGGGGATCCAGCGCTTTACCTATTCTCATTCCAGCTGCCTCTGCTGAGCTCACAGCCCAACACCTGCCCCCGGCCCCCCTGCGAGGGGACTGTGAATGTGTTTGCAGGCAAAGGCCAGAGGGACCCTTCTCTGAGCTTCAGGCAGCAGCTCCCTGCAGGAATCCCCTGCAGAGCTAGTTAGCAAGCATGGCGCAGCTGAGGTGCTGCAGCAGCCTGGAGCCAAAGGGGAGGGAGGCAAATCTCTGACCCCAGAGCCCCCAGAAAACAGCAGAGAAGAGACTCAGCCAGGCCC